CCCCCCCCCCCCCCCCCAATTTTGAGATTTTCCTCCCCCCCAATTTTTGGGACTAAACCCGCTGGTTTTGGGTCTCTCCCCCCCACAGTTTGCCGAGATCCTGCAGAAGATCAAGGAGTACATCAGCAAACAGCCCAAAGCCGCCGAAGGTGACCCCGAAAGCCCCTCAAAATGGGGGACCTCCCTCCCTCCCCCACCCCCCACAACTACCCACCCTTCCCCCACCCCCAAATCCCCCAAAACTGCCCCCAAAAAGCGGGTTTGGGGCATCCAAATTTCCCATTTCACATTTCCCGCCATTTTGTCCCCTCATGTTTCCCTCCCTTTTCCCCTCACATTTCCTGCCATTTTGTCCCCTCACATTTCCTGCCCTTTTCCCCTTACATTTCCCGCCATTTTGTCCCCTCACGTTTCCCTCCCTTTTCCACTCACAGTTGGGGGAATTTTGGGGCGGATTTTGGGGTCTCAGGTGGGTTTTAGGGGGTCATTGGGGGAATTTTGGGGGTCCTGGGGGGGGATTAGAGGAGTTTGGGGGGGTCTATGGTAGGGTCTGGGAGGTTTTGGGGGGTCTCGGGGGGAATTTGGGAGAAGATTTTGGGGTCTCAGGTGGGATTTGAGTGGGGGTCCCTTGGGGGGGGGAATTTTGGGGGGTCCTGGTGAGGATTTGGGAGATCCCAGGTGAGTTTAGGGAATCCTGGGTGAGTTTTAGGGGGTCCTGGGTGAGTTTGGGGTGATCTCCAAGGGGATTTGGGGGACTGAGGGGGGGATTCCCAGGGGAAATTTGGGGCAATTTTCCCATTTTTGGGCAATTTTGGGGCTGGTGGAGGCAGCACTGGAATATCAGGTTTGGGGGGTCCCAGAAGGGGTTTAGGGGATCCTGGGTGGGTTTGAGGGTTTCCCAGGGTTATTTTCGGTCGATTTCCCCTGGTTTGGGGCAGTTTGGGGCTTGGTGGAGGCAGCTCCGAAATGTCCGTTCGGGGGGGGGTTCCCGGGTGGGATTTGGGGGGTCCTGGGGAGGATTTAGGGAATCCTGGGGTTTTTTTTGGGGGGATCCTGGGTGGGCTTAAGAGTTTCCCAAGGGAAATTTGGGTCGATTTCCCCCCTTTTTGGGTAGTTTTGGGCCCAGTGGAGGCAGGCCTGAGTACCGAGTGATCATCGACGCCAACAACCTGACAGTGGAGATCGAGAACGAGCTGAGTGAGCCCTGGGGGGGATCTCGGGGGGTCCTGGGGGGCATTTCTGGGGGGGGGTTTCAGGGGCTGAGGTGGATTTTGGGACCCCCTCCCTCATCCACAAGTTCATCCAGGACAAATATTCCAAGAGATTCCCGGAGCTGGAGTCGCTGGTGCCGAACACGTTGGATTATATCCGGACAGTCAAGGTGAGCTAGGACCCCCCCAAACACCCCCTGGGACCCCCAAAATACACCCTGGAACCCCCAAATCCCACCTGGCACCACCCAAATCACATCTGGGACCCCCTAAATCCTACCTGGGACCCCCCCAAACCCTCTCAGGACCCCCCAAATTCCCTGTGGGACCCCCCAAATCCCCCCGAATTCCCCTTTGCCTCTTTCTTTCTTTTATTTCTGTGGCCCCTTGTGGTGACTTTGAGTTCCCCTGGGGGGTTTTGGGGTCCCTAGGGGGAGTCACCCCCCCTTTTGTCCTCCCCTAATTTTGGGAGTTCCTTCAGGAATTGGGGAATTCTCTGGACAAGTGCAAGAATAACGAGAATGTGCAGCAGATCCTGACCAACGCCACCATCATGGTGGTCAGCGTGACGGCTTCCACCACCCAGAGGTTAGTGGGGCCCCAAAATATTTGGGAGGGGTGTTTCTTCTTTTCATGTTTCCCTCCATTTTCCTCCTTACATTTTTCTCCTTTTCCCCTCACCTTTCCCACCCTTTTCCCCCCTTTTCCCCCTCACATTTCCCACGTTTTTCCCCTCACCTTTCCCAC